GATGTGACCAACTGGCGTGTGGCAACTGTCTGGCGCCGACCATGATTTGCAAAAATTGACGAGTTCAAGGCGCATTGAGATTTAGGGGGGCCGCCTTCACTCAGGGCGGACACACGCCTGATGCAGGGCCATATGCCGAGGGGTCAACCCCTCGCACCCATGTGATTCAAGCTGACGTTGCAGCTACTGCGATCCAGCTGCTGCCAGCTTAGATCGAAGCTGATGTGGCATCAACTGTGATCTAAGCGGCTGCGAAGTCAGATCTCCTCCTCCTCTTTTCCGTCCTCCACATTAGATCCCCATGTGATCCAAGCTGATGTGGCAGCAGCTGTGATCCACACAGCTGCCACCTTAGATCAAAGCAGATGTGGTAGTAGTTGTCATCCAAGTGGTTCTCATGTCAGCTTGCATCTGACATCACAGCAACTTGGATTACACCTGTTGCCACCTCAACTTCGATCACATGGGGCTCTGATGTTTCTGGTTTCGGCCAACGTGTTTAGCTCGTATCCCCGATACTTTTTTTTTTCAATTCTTCCGCTTTGTCGCCCACCCTCATATATATATATATATATTTTTCAAGTCCTCATTTGTTTCTGCACCTCTTACCTCTTACCTCCGCCTCCTCTTCCTCCTCTTGCTCTTCTTCCTATGCTTCCTTGTCTTAATTCTCCATGTCAGATTCCGTTGTAATCTATGTTGATATGGGAGCAGCTGCAGTTCAAGCTACTGTCAGGTGACATCAAATATGACATGGATGGAAGCTGACGTGGCACCAGCAGCTGTGATCCAAGCTACTGCCCCCTCAGATAGAATTTGACATGGCACCAGCAGTTGTGATCCAATCTGCTTGGATCTGATGTGGTAGCAGCTTGGATTGCAGATCCTACTCTTCCTCCCATACTTTCGGCGCGCCGGCGCATCCTGTGCGAGGGGTCGCGGCACATGCAGCGCACAGCGCACGTGCATGCACGTGATGCGGCGCATTACCAAAAAGAAAATAAATAAAAAAAATTGAAAGGACAGGGTGGGGTGGCCAAACATGCCCCTTGCTTCTGAATATCAAACTGCAAGAGGGAAAAAAGTTCGGGCCGCCCCATACCCCAACACTGTGAGCACATGTGTGTGCGTGTGGGTGTGCATGTCCTAATTGTGTCCAATCTGATTTCCGAAGGGCCCTACGAATTAGCAAGGACCCCTCGTGGAGCAGAGGTAGACATTAGACTTCCAGGTTGTCTGTGTCGGCCGAGAATATATAGTCTGGATTCGAATTCAAGTCTGTGCATCGCAGTTATGGGTCACTAATTCTCTGTTTTCTCGATTTTTTTTTTTCTTGGGAATACGTGCAGTTTCCCTAAGAGCCTCTACTCACCACATGCACAAAAGACAAAACATATGGCGGCGTATTATTCCATGTTCTAGCAGGAGATTCATTCTAATTCTGCACATTTGCAGTGGCCCTAAGGGCCTCTACTCACCACATGCACAAAAGACATAACATATGGCGGCGTATTCTTCCACGTTCTAGCAGAAGATGCATTCTAATTCTGCACATTTGGTGAGTACTACAGCCAAGCCCTGAGAATCACACGCATAGACCAAGAGGGCCTAGCTAAGTGAGCAGCCCATAACTGCTGAAACACAGACCTGAATACGAATCCTGACTATATATTCAGCCAGCTCGTGCTCCACTTCGTATGCAATGCCTGCCTCGATTTTGGTGGAGGGTCCTTGCTAAATTGTTGCAAGGAACCTTCAGATTACCTGCATGGGCCCTGTGATACGTGTGAAGGGGTTCCTTTGCTCTCTCTCTCTCTCTCTCTCTCTCTCTCTCTCTCTCTCTCTCTCTCTCTCTCTCTCTCTCTCTCT